CTCAACTTCCATAGTTAGAACAGAAGTTACTAACATGATTACAAAGGGATTGTGTAGGTTATGTGGTGACAAAATTCATAAGTTGAAATATAAAGTTTAGGGTAAGCCCAAACGCTATCTTCTTTGCACAGAAAGAAATTGAGGCCGATGTAGTGTAAAGACATGGACTTTGAGATAATCATTTGTGTTCCAGTATATAATACCACTAGAAACAACAAAGTTGAAGATGATTCATTCCTCAAAGATAGTGATGACTGCAAGGTTTGAAATGGGTTGGCTACTATTAAAGGAGAGTCTGATCTCGGTACATCATTAACCTGTGATTCATGCGATTTATGGTATCGTGCATTCTGTGTGGGATTTGATACTGAAAGTACGTCAGTCAGTACATGGTTTTGCCTCTAATGTGTAGTAGATGATAATTCCATTGTAAGATCAACAGTGGACTGTAATGCAGATAATAGTAACAGTAAATACCATGCAAAAGATTACTTTACAGGAAAAGTTTCTGTGTCTATTGCTGATACAGGAAAAACAGCTGTTGGTGTCTCAATGGTTGATAAAGCAAAATTGGTTTCAGCAAAAAGTGAAGTCTATTGTCTTTTGAAGTTGGTTGGGGATCAAATGACTGAGTCATATATTTTGACATCTGACACAAATAATTAGGGAAGTGAGGACAAATTTATCTACACCAAGCTGGAAGATATGGGGCTGAACCAAGGAAATTGGGATAATTGAATATTGGTGGATAAAAAGGGTCCCTTCTTACCTTTCTTTTATATCTTAATTCTTTTGATGCTAATTTCAATTTATGGTCTGTAATATTACTGGTTATTAACCAGGAACAATATTTTTAGCTTTGATTTATATAATGTAGGTTTAAGTCGAATCAGGAAAACCTAGATAGAATTTAAATAGATCACTGATATTTTACTTAGGAAAATCAAAACAGAATAATCGATTAAACTTCGTATCAATCGATTAAAATCTTTAAAAACTAGCTTATATTAGTAAAATTAAGATTTAATTATGATATTGCTGGATCTATTAGTGAAAAGATAATCAATGTAGTTGATATTGCTGTTAAACACCTTTCTAGATAATCAGTTCACAACATATCCACTAAATTAGATATAAGAAATTCACATCAGATATGTCATAGTTTTCAAATCTGAATGTTTTAATCAATAAAAACATCTTTTAAATCGATTAAATGAATTTATATAACATTTTTCATTAATGTTTTAATCGATTAAAAGTCGAAATAATCGATTAATTGCACTAAAGTTTCATGTTTTCAAATTCTTAAATGTTTTAATCGATTAAACCTTTCTTTCAATCGATTAAAATCATTACCAAGAACATTTTAATCGATTCTCGTTCTGTTTTTAATTGATTTTTATTCTGGAAAGAAAAATTAAAGGCTTTAGTTAATGGTTGTTCTCGTAACATGCTACTAAAGCGTGATTCCCTTATCTTTACACGTATTAATTGTATTCATTACAAACGTGTTAATGAAGATAAATTTGAATCAACTTTAATTGATCTTTACATGAGTAAAGTATTGATTTCTTTTTATTTTCAAAAACTCAAACTGTTGAAAACCTTTGCGTTTCATTATTTCTCTTTTGTTCCCTATTTTTTGATGAAGTCAAAAGGGGGAGAAATAGTTGCTTTACTTTAGGATCAATTTAGAGAAATAAATCTCACATTAAGGAAGCATCATTTTAGGGGGAGAAATAAGTTTTAGGGGGAGAAATAGGACATTAATACATTTTTTAATTTCTCACTAATCTGTTTTATCAAGTGACTTCTCTTGCAGAGTTTTTTTTCAAAATGGTGTTTGTCTTCATCAAATAGGGGGAGACTGAAAGTGATGAAGATCTTAGTGAAATACTTTGGCAAAGATCTCATTGATTTGATGAAGTCAAAGATGAAGTCAAAAGTCAACTTTGCAGCGGTCAACAAGTCACTCAGATAAAAGAGTTAGAGGATTAGTGTGTCTAACAGAATGCTTAGGTAAAACCACTTTATCTTTTCTGCTGCATGAAGTTTCTTCACTTAAATGATTTTGCAAAATGCCTCTAAAATCGTTTTAAACAATTAAAAACAAAGCATTTTGACAAAACCCTTCTTAATAATGTTTTTAACTGATATAGTTTGAAAGAACCGATTAAAATCACTTAGAATGTTCAAAGAAGTGTTTTTACAGTATTTTAATCGATACAACTTGATTTTAATCGATTAAAACCATTTAGAACTCATTATGATCGATCAGAATACAAATATGACCGATCAGAATCAAATGTGATCGATCAGATTTGAATTATGAGCGATCAGAATTTTTTCAATCGATTAAAACACGTTTCAATCGATTAAAATCACTTAAAGGGTCAGAATGATCGATCAGAATGCAATTATGACCGATCAGAATTGAATTATGACCGATCAGATCTGTTTCAATCGATTAAAACGCATTTCAACTGATTAAAACAACTTGGAAAAATTTTGTATAGAGTTTTAATCGATTAAAACCTATGGTTTATCAGTTAAAATAACTTGAAAAGTTTTATAAGAAAGTTTGCAGTATTTCAATCGATTAAAACGTGAAAGAATCGATTGAATTAACTTAGAAGATTTTTTGTAAAGTGTTTTAACTGATATAAACGTTGTCGTATCAGCTAAAACAAATCTGTTAAAGAATCAAGAACGTATTAATAGATTGAAAGGACATTTAACAGATTGAAACGGCTATTTCAACAGATTAAAACAAACTTTCAACAGATTAATAAATGCAGCAGTTTTGAAAATATGCTATAAAAACAGTTTGGCTTGAACTTTTTAAACATACATTGAATATCAGTTTTTACACATCCTTAAGCAATCATTCAAGTAAACTTTAGCCTTTTTTAAGAAAGATTCGCAACAGTTTTTTTGAAGTTCTTTTGAAAATCTTTCTTGAGGCAACTTGCATTCTTTTGAAGAAGAAACTCTCTGCAGATTTGGATAAACTGGTTTGAGCTTTCTAGTTTCTTCTTTTTCAATTCTTTTTCATTCTTTTGTACTGTGTGGTGCCTGGAATTTGGGCACTGGTTTCTCTCGTACTGAATTTGGTTGTAGAGGTTATCAAGAACTGAAATTTGGTTCTTTGTGAGAAGTTAGGTGTTGGTGCCTGGAATTTGGGCACTCGGTTTCTCTCATGCTGGAATTTGGTTGTAGAGGTTATCAAGAACTGGAATTTGGTTCTTGGTGAGAGGTTAGGTGTTGGTGCCTGGAATTTGGGCACTCGGTTTCTCTCGAGCTGGAATTTGGTTGTAGAGGTTATCAAGAGCTGGAATTTGGTTCTTAGTGGAGAGGTTAAGTGCAGGAAGTGGAATTTGGTTCTTGTGATAGATTAGGTGTAAGATTGTTGAATCTGTAAAACATTTAATCTAGTGGAACCCAGCTGGAATTTGGCTGGTGACTGGACGTAGCCTGGTATTGGGTGAACCAGTATAAAATACCGGTGATATCTCTCTTAACCTTTCTCTCCTTTAAATTCAGTTACTGCACTTATTTTGATTGATTGTTTTGCGATTCAAGAATATATTAGTAAACTTAATTTTCGAATTAGATAATTTGTGATTTGCGAAAAACTTTCAAAGATCAATTCATCCCTCTTGATCTAAAACTACTTTTCTAACATAAGTGGCTACCACTACGTGGCTACCACCCTACTAAGTCATCGTTATTAAGTATTAAATACAACCTCCTTAATTATATATGTTAGATTTTATCATGTCATGCTCCTCTAGTTGGCTGTGATTGTTAATTAAAGATTTGAATGCGTTGAATGGTGGAAGCTATATATCATAGCAGATGGCAAGTCATAAAACAAAATTTCTTTAACCGACTTAAGAACAGGTAGGTGATGATGGATGATTTGGTAGACACGAGACACAAACATTTTATCTTCACAACATGCCACTTCCATTCCTGCAATGTCGTGACTCACAAATTTACTCGTCATTCATTTTTATTGTCCATGTCAACATATTTTTCTGTCATTCTAAAATTTAACTGTACTTTGCTTCTATAATTTTCGTCAACTTTCTTATTAGTAATATTTCATATTCTTAATGTTTTTATATGAACATTTCAAGGGTGAATGTGATGAATTTCCCTTAAGAAGTATTTTTTAAATAATTAGGAGTCAGATATTTAGTAAAAAATTGAAGAGTTTTCTGAGAGAGGAATCATGGGTTTTAAAAAAACAGTTATTTTATTTTATTTTATTTTATTTTGGATAAATTTAATGTTTTAATTAGGGCGTTTAAAGTAGTAGCAAATTTTTAAATAGTTTAATAAATATAATTAATGAAAAATGAGTAAAAAATTTGGTGGTTCAAAGTAATACAAACATCAAAGGAAGAATTGAATTTTCTTAATTTTAAAAATAAATAATAATTAATTTAATAACTAAAACAAAAATTAGTAAATCATTGTATAAAAAAATAATTAAGTATATATTTTTTTAACCTTACTTTTTTTTTCCTTACTGAACTTAATTACTTAATTATCTCTTCCACAAACGAAAAAAGCTTACAGAGTGAACGTGAATATTGGCCCTTATAAAGATAGCGAGCTACCTATGAGAAATTGGGTTCTTCATCTCCATACAGCCGAATTGGTCGTTAGGCCCATTTATAATAAATGGGTCATGGTCATTTAGATGCTGTATTGCCAAGATGGGCTTACGGACTTTTCTCCTTTGTGGACAATTTTGCATGTTATCTTATCGATCATTAACTTTATTTCATAAGGTTAGCCGCATACATGCATGCACATTATCGGCATATCTGATCTTATCAAATATCAATTACATAAATATGAAGAGAATGGATAAATTGATTTTGATCCTTCCTCATTCATGAATGATAGAGTTCATTAATTGAGCATAGTAAAGCTAGAATTGTGTTATATATTGCTTTTGCCTAGGCCAGTTCATCAGTCACTGCTTTCTACTTCAACTTCCCAATATGGAAATCGATAACGTGTTCCTTCCACTTCTTACCATCTAGATAAACCTCGTAAAAGCTTGCTTCCCCACTTGATCTTACGGTCAGTGCAGCACTACTCCTAGTGCCATATACACCCTGCATATATTAATAAGTCAAAGATTCCATTCCGTGATGAATTGATTCATATGGATGCAATGAATTGTAACATACCAGTGGTGTTTCTACTTCAACAAAAATGGAGCTGAGATTGAGTTCCCAATCGAGTGAGCATATACGAGGTAGTACGCTTTTGTCAGCTTTAACTCTGTCCTTCATTAGCTTTTCAATTACCTCCTTCACACCAATCTCACCTTCCCCATATTTGGCTAGGTGTTCTTTGAAGCTTAATTCAAGGCGCAGTGACTGCAAAAACATCAGCTAATTCAAATTAGGACTGTTCCAAGGTTTAGTATAGTGAACTTTGCGCTGTTAATATAAACAGATTACACAGAATGACTTTTTAACCTTATGCCATGGCGAATCTAGCTTATCATTTGAAAGTACATGCAGCCCTGGTGCAACCTCTTCAATGATAATAGGCTGTCCCTTGGGCCTGTTGGAGATGTACACCATTGATTTGGACGCAATATCTGCCACGATTAAGTTGAATCCGTTGTAATAATGAGCCTCTGATTTTAGGCCTTCTGCAAATTCTTTCGGTTGATTGCTGCTCTGCCATTATTCATTGGGATAGATACAAGAAACAAAAAAATGTGTAAAATATCAGTTTGGAAGTTAATTTGAGCAGTTTATGTATGCCATACTGGTCTTGGTTCCAAACTCTTGATCAATAATATGATTATCAATATATATATACTGAGTGTGAATTAGGTGCAGACAAAAAACACATGTTTATCTCAATTCTTTCTCTCCGCTGTTAGACAGTCCAATTACAAAAATCATGATTCTAAAGATACCTTGAGAAATAGGACGGGTAGGTCTCCACGACTTTTGGCCTCAGGGAGGGTATGAAGCTCCAAAACATTGGTGAGAAAAGCCACCCTTCCTTGTGTAGAACAAGCCAACCATGTTCCCATTGCTATTTCGTCCCTTCCTCCCAGAATATCACAATCTTCCCACCAACACACCGGCTTCGTAGGCCTTCATCCAAATAACAACTATGTAAGTGCATGCATATCCCACAAGTCATCAAGTACCGAAATCATAGATAAAGAAAAAAGAAATAGCATGAATAAGAATGCTTGCCTATTGTGATATTCATCTCTGTTGTTCAAAAGAAGAAAAGGGTACAGTGGGTGACATTGCCAAAGAAACAAAGCTATACACATTGTTCAGTAGTTGATGAGTTGGGTGCACCACTGACCAAACAAAGCTTCAAGCAATAGAGCAACAATGTATGCTGGTATTTCGTGAGTGACGAAATGGCTTTATAGGCTATCAAGCTAAGTTCGCACAGTAGCCGATTTTAACACAGCACCGTTACACAACTAATTAACGCTAGCATTTATGATCGAGGTGGAGCCATGCACAACAAAGAAAGAATTATGTATTCAAACAACCGATTAGTTTGGTTACATCTTATGATTCCGCAATTCAATCTTCGACTCTTTATTTGCTAGCTGCATTATCTCCTTGCTCCCACCTGTGAACTCTGGAAGGTAGGATGTTAGGTTCCAAACAAAACGTGGGCTCAAAAAGAGATCATTAAGTGTATTCATTACAAAATAATTCTCGAAAACTTGCAAGTTTTCCCAACCTTATCTTGTCAATGGGTGGTTTTAATAAAACGCTCTAAAGTTGAAGCATAAAAGATAACACCCTACTATGCTAGCATGTTAGTAGCATTGATACAATTCAAACTTTCTATTAAGTTTGGGAAAAAGTTTGGTGAAAATTTCTTGATAGTAGATAGGAGGAAGAGAAACAAATTATGAATATACAAATATACGACCAATGAAGTAACTTTTTGGCTATTATCCAAAATCAAAGTCCTTTGGTTTGCTAGGGTATTAGAGATGTTAAGTTAGTTCCGAAGGAAGCAGTTGATAGGAATGGAGGGAACTAATACGCATGGATAAAAGCGGCTTTCTAATATTTATCTGCGTGTGGCAACGTTGGATGCGTGGTGGATGCACACACGTGAAGCAGTGAAAGGTTGATAATTGCCTGGTTTAATTTAGTAGCTGAGCTGAGAGGAGAATTTTGAATTTAATACAACTATATATAAACCCTACTTCTCATAAGATATTTTGGCTCCTATAATCAATTCGTAATATATAGCCTAGGTTTTATTTTTTTCTAAATCTTAATTAGTTAGGCGGCTAAACAAGTTATTAATTACTGCTACTACAAACTAGGACAATGAAAAAAAGTAAATATTAAATTAACTTTTAAACATGTATAAAATTTATCTTGTTACATCTTCATGTTTGAAAACATAAAAAACTTATATTAAAAAAAAACTAAATATTTTACATCTTCATCTTAATTTCTTATTATTGGGCTAATCCTATTAAGTTAAATGGTAACATATCACACTCTTTCATAACTAAACAGAGAAATCTTAACCGACCTAAATAAATGGATTTAATGTAAGTGGAACATTTTTTCTTCATTTTAAATTTAAACTTTAGATGATATTTTAAGTTTTAATCATTGCAGCTTCATAAATTAATTTCGATAGTTGTTAGACCCAATAGAGGCCTAACAAAACCAGTTCAGCTCTATCAAAAACTAATTATATAGCATTATGGATAAAATTACAAAATAAATGGCTCATATATAACATTTAATTATAGAAATTATCAAGTTAATTATTTTTTAAACACATTTGTATTCATTTCATTTATAGTAAAGTATGTTGATAACATTTACATAAATGTATAAAGTTTAGTAAATATTTTCTTTATGCACATATTTCCTTTCATTACAAAAATTGCTTCCGTTTGGATCAGTGGACGAAAAGTTGCGAAGCACAGAAATGCAGAGAAAGTGCATTTTTCAACGTAATAAATTTGAGTTTCCTAATAAATTTCCATTGCACCAAAGAAAGCAGTGTAATGAATAGTATGATAATTTTTTTAACAAAAAAATATTGAACAGTATCCTTTACTGGTTAACAAGATTCATTTAATATGTTTCTTTTATTTTCATGATTTTTTTTTTTAAAGTATACACCGAGTCTCTGCTATGATTATTATTGATTAATATTATTCATTGGTTTATTACCCACTAATAAAAATTATTGGTCCAATCAATTTGTAATGAATGGATTGAATAATTGGTGAATAAAAATTGTAATTTCTCTTTCTCAAATATAGATTCTGAAATCTTCTTTCACTTAAAAGTGAAAGGAAGAAGCTCACTCCCAACTTGGTTGAATTGGACCCGCTTAGTAGGTTTCTCTCGTTATGACGTTGGTGGTAACTACTCCACTTATGCGATTCTACTTTCTTTATCTTTCTGTTTTGTAGAATATATTCCTTCTAAATTTTTTGAACTTGTTCTAGTTTGTAAAAAGAATTTAACCATGTTCAGTGGAATAATAAGTATAAACATTATGACAACATGATTCACTGAGCCAAGCCCAATATATTTACAGCCCAATGTATTTAGTAGTGAGAGGCTGGGTCACGTCTAAGGGCCCACTTTAAAATACTAGAGTATAAATATTATAAAAAGGTGGAGTGGGGAAGGTAAAAACCTCAAATTGCGGGGCCCTGAAGCCCAAACTAACACCTTGGACTCGGTTCTAGAAGCCCGAACAAAGAACAATGCTCGGGATGGATTTTTCATGCGTTGCAAGCGTAGGGCTGAAAACCCAATTTTGAAACTGAGCATGGTCGTGTCGTGGGAATGAGAAAGAAATTGCAGAAGAACCTAACTGCAGAAAGGGTAACCCAATTGAAGACACTTTCGGTCTCAGTCTCGATGCCATTGCCGTGTTACACTTACTCCAACATTCACCCCAACCTCAATTGTCCATCATCAATATTAATATGATTATCATCCTCTTCTTCATCACTCTTTGTTGCTTTTCTGGTCTTTGTTTGTACACACTTTTGGATCATCTGTTCTGCTCATAGTAACCACTCTTAATGGGCCTTTATTGCAATGGATCACTCATTGAAACCCAATTACTATGGTCTTAACGTGGTGTAGATTTGGACCCAACTATTTGTCTGGTTCAAAGGTGTCTGATGGCTGTGAGTGCTACTTCTATACTGAACCAGCTCCTCCGAAAACAAAATCTGAACCCACGGCAACAACCCCAAATAAACGCAGTGATCAAAACAATCCACACTTACCTTAAAGCGGGACGCATCAGAAAAGCCACTTGCATTCTCTTTGCCTTCCCAAAACCCATCCCGTATTCTCTCTACACCCTTTTCTTCCACCTATGATCTTCCCACCGCACCATCGTCGAGGCTTGCAAGGTCGAGTCCCACTTGCTCACCTTCCTCCTCAACCGCGCCACCGAGTCTTACGCCAAATGCCACTGTCTCTGCGATGCCCGCGAACTGTTTGACGAAATGCCCCAACGAGATGGCGGCACTTGGAACGCCCTCATTACGGCTTACTCTAAGTTGGGTTTCCCTGACCAGGTTTTTTCCTTGTTTATGTGTATGACTAGGTCTGGTGTTTTCCCCAATGAGGTTACTTTTGCTAGCGTTCTTGCCTCTTCTGCTACTGCTTCTGAGCTTCCTCTTTCCAAGCAAGTTCATGGGATGGTCACTAAGTTTGGCTTTTGTGACAATGTGATTCTTGGGAGTTCACATGTTGATGTGTATGCCAGGTGCGGGGTTATGAATGATGATGCTTGCAGGATGTTTTATGAGATTCCGCAGCCTAATGCTGTTACTTGGAATGTGATTGTGAGGTGTCATCTTGATGCTGGTGATGCAAAGGAAGCTATTTTTATGTTCTCGCGGATGTTTTCCGCTGCGGTTCAACCGATGAATTTTACATTTTCTAATGCTCTTGTTGCTTGTTCCCACCTGTCTGCCCTCCAGGAGGGGATGCAGATTCATGGGGTGGTTGTGAAGTTGGGCCTCCAAGAGGACAATGTCGTTTCGAGTTCGCATGTGAACATGTATGTCAAGTGTGACAAGCTGGAAGATGGTTCTCGGGTTTTTGATATGCTTGGTTTTAGAGATTTGGTGTCTTGGACTTGTATTGTATCGGCATATGCAATGAGTGGGAAAACTTTGGAGGCAAGAAAGATTTTTGATGGGATGCCTCAACGGAATTTGATCTCATGGAATGCAATGTTAGCAAGACAGGATATGTTCGGTGGTTTGATTGGTATGAGGCGTTAGATTTTGTGTCTCATGCTTGATAAGATTAAATATGTAGATCATGTCACTCTTGGTTTGCTGTTAAATATTTCTGCGGCCATTTCGGATCATGAAATGGTAAAACAGATTCATGGATACATCTATAGACATGGCTTCCACTTGGACATTAGGTTAGCAATGCCCTTCTGGACATGTATGGTAAATGTGGAAACTTGAACAGCGCTAGGGTTTGGTTTAACCAAATGAGTAATTGGCGTGATAGGGTTTCTTGGAATGCTTTGTTGGCTAGCAATGGTCATCATCAGTTAAGTAAACAAGCGTTATCAATGTTTTCAGAGATGCAGTGGGAGACAAAACCAACCAAATATACACTTGGAACCCTTTTGTTAGCATGTGCAAATACCTTTTCTCTTTATCATGGCAAACAAATTCATGGGTTCATCATTAGACATGGATTTCACATAGATATTATAATCAGAACTGCTTTGGTTACATGTACAGTAAATGCCGTTGTCTTGAGTACGCTATTGAGGTTCTGAAGGGACCATCTTATAGTGATGTGATAATTTGGAATACCATAATTTTTGGGATGTTGTCACAATCATAGGGGTAAAGATGCACTTGAACTTTTTGTGATTATGCAGGCAGAAGGCATCAAGCTAGACCATGTGACCTTAAAGGGCATTTTGTTCTTGCATTGATATTTGTGTACATATTGGTCTTTACAGAATACTTATGTTAGTCCGGATGGAAAGTTGTTAGCTGTACTTGGGGACAGTACTGAGTTCTTGATAGCTGATGCTAACACTGGAAAGGTAGTTCGGTTTGCAATTGTTTTTTAGGTTTTATTTTCCTTAGTTTTATGTGATTTCTGATTTATATATTTTATGTTATCCCCCAGATTACTGGAAGCTTAAAAGGTCACTTGGACTACTCTTTTGCATCGGCTTGGCACCCAGATGGACGGATATTGGCCACTGGGAATCAGGACACAACTTGCAGGTTGTGGGACATTAGAAACCTTTCACAATCTATAGCTGTGTTGAAGGGAAGAATGCGTGCAATTACAGCATTGAGATTCACATCTGATGGACGGTTTTTGGCCATGGCTGAGCCAGCAGACTTAGTCCATTTTTTTGACTCGCATTCTGGTTATGTACGAGGTCAGGAGATAGATCTCTTTGGCGAGATTGCTGGTATATCCTTTAGCCCAGACACAGAAGCTCCATTTGTGGGCATTGCTGACCGAACCTATGGTAGGTTGTTAGAGTTCGTCAGAAAACGTTACAATTATCACCTAGACTCCATGTTTTGATGGAGTGGAGTACATCAACACATGTACAGCAATCTACTCCATGTGCATATTCACCATACTATTTCTAAAATAGCTTTAAAATTTATCTGTGAAATGTTTTCCCAGGGTTATTTTCCGTTTGAATTCAGTGGAGGCAAGATGCAGATTTTGGCTCTAAGAAACTATTTTTGTTTTTGTTTTTGTTTTTTTTTTTAATTTTGATTTTATTAGCGTTCAAAGATCTTAATACTTTTGCCTCTGTAAGAATAGTTTCTTTACATCTTATTATTCAATACTGCCATGAGTATTTCTTTTATAGAATAATTTTCATTGACTGCATTAATGTTTATTAGTTATTTACATCTTATTTTATTTTACACATTGTTTTTCTATGATATTTCCAATATTCACCTTACAATTCAAATATTAACCTTCCAGTTCTAGTATAATGCAGTGACAAGGAAGAGGGTGTTGTTCGTATAGGTACTATGAAAGGGGATTTATGTGAAAAATTTAATGCGTTTTCATTAGAAAATTAAAATGAAATAAAACTATTAAAAGCATTTGATGAGAACTTGTAACTTGGAAAGACTAAAAAGAAATTTAGAAATACGTTTTTCTTTCGTTTTAGTCGTTTTTGTTTTTAGTTTTATAAAAAGAATTTATAGTCCCATTAAATATATCATTTTTATTATAATCCTAACAAATATTTTTATGTTTAGTTTAGTCTCAATAAACATATGTCTGTGATTTTAACCAGTGTTTTATTTTGGTTGTAGTGATGTCTTGACATGACATTATGACTTTATTAATATTAAATTGGTCATTTTATTGACAAATTATGTGATGGGTGTTATTATCTTTAAATTAATAAAGAGGATAAATAGGAAATATTAAAAAAACGAAAAAAAAAAGAATAAAAAAATCAAAATTATCTTTTCTAGGACCAAAGTGTTTTAAATTTTAAATAACTACGTATATAGAGGAAGTGAAGTCGGGTGTGTCATCTCGCACTGGGCATGAAACGGAGGTCGACCAGCCTCCGTTAAGCCTACATGCAGTATACTATAACATTATTTAAGCAAACAAAAATTTAATCAATTTGACCAAAACCATGGAAAACTAAACAGACTTGAATATCTTAGGCAGGTGGTAGATGGAGAAGGAACCAAATGCAATCTCGTCCACACAGACAGATCTAACTACGCTCTTTTCAGGGTGAAAAAAAAAACAGAGTCTAGAGTATTGCGTGAGAAAAAAATATAAACAGAAGTGTTATAAAAAAAATAAAAAAAATAATTGACGTGTCATTACCACAATATACAAACATTATATTTAAAGAATTTGTCAAAATTATGTTTCACCGTCTTCATTCTAATTCATCATTTATCTTTCATTCTAACTTTAGAACGGATGTAAATTTGATATATTTATTTTTAATTTTTTTATTGGTCATTAATTCTTTTTTATTATAACTAACTTTTTTTTTCATTATTTTTATTTATCTCAGGTTTTTAATCGAATATTCAAAATATATTGGTTCAGGTTCGATTTCAACATCAGTGCTAACCACATAATCATTAAGTCGTATTGGTACTTTTATTAATCTTATTGGTTGATTTCTTATTGTGTCAATTTTTTGAACCAATCAATTTATTCTTTCGTTGATTTCTTGAATAAGTCAATTTCTTTTCTCATTGATTTCTAAATTGGATCAATCTCATCTCTCGATTTCTTCATCACATGACACATTAAAACTGATATTTTTGTTTTTCTTTATCAATCTCATCTTTACTAATAATAATTTTCTTCATGAAAATATCAAACAATTTATAAACTCTTAATGAATAATACCTTACCAAAATTAGTTTCTCTTTTCTATCATCGAACTTTCTCTTTCTCTCATCGGGATCATGTCTCCAAACACTCTAGTCAAATATCTTCAAATGCTTTACATTCAACTTTTCTCCTGACCAAACTTATTTCAGTGTCTTCTCTGTAACTCTTTTCGTTGGGCATCAATTCAAAACATAAATTCCACGTTGGGCATCAATTCAAAACATAAATTCCAGGTTGATACTGCTTCATCCCAAAAAGAATGTGGTAGAACTTTGTTCTTCAATATACTTTTGATCATGTTCAGAATCGTTCGATTTCTTCTTTCAACAACATCATTGTGTTGTGGTGTATATGGGGGTACAATTTTATGTATAATACTTTTTTACTTGAAGAATGACGCAAATTCACCATTATTATACTCACAACTACCGTTAGATCTCAAGACTTTAATAACTTTGTTATTTTGTTTCTCAACCAACTTTTTAAATTTGACAAAACAATTAAAAACCTATGGTTTCTTCTCGAGCAAATATAACCATATTTTCTTATTGATATCATCAATGAATGTAATAGAGTAGATGTTTCCACCAAGTGAGGATACATTCACTAGTGCAAAATAGTGTTTTACGTCACCTAATTATCGTCAAACCTAAAAAATAACTAACTTAAAAAATGCAATGGTATATTTGTAAATAAGGGATGATACTTTTACTTCAGACCTCTTAGAGACCGACTTGAAGACTACTTTTTACGTTAAGTAGCTCCCTAACCAACATAAAAAGTGTCTTTTATGTCGGTCCTTACGAGATTCGACGTAAAAGTCGCGTTTTAATCGCCCAATAACTTCTTTTTTTTCTTCCCGCACGTGAGGGTTTTCGAGTGATGATGGTGGCAGTGACCATATCAGCTCCCCTTAAGGTACATTTCGACCATAGTGAGTGATGAAAACACTTTTATTATGTCCAATTTGTGGTGATTAACATTTCTCTCTGATTGAATTTGAGTTTTAGAGTGTTTATTTGATGTTAGTGTTCTATGTGTCTCGCCTCCTCTTTTATGTTAAAATTGAATGTTTTCACTGGATTATTATTGAAATTAAACTATTATAATTTGTGATTACCTGTTTATGCGTTTGAATCCTACGTTTTTTGTTGTTATATGGGGTTTAGGGTTTTATGATGAAAAGAAAATGAAAAATATTTGAAACAAGATAAGTTTTGACTTCGATGTCGGATTTGGATGCACATATATCAAACACAAAGAGAAAAAAACGAAGAAGGGGGAAATAACCAAAGGGGATTTGTCCCAACAGATTTTCCAAAATATGCTCCTAAGCACATGTAATAGATAAAAGTTTATGCGGGTATAACTTATTCTTGAACAAAGATAATTGTTTTCAACATTTGTTAAGTTCATTTTGTTTTTATATGTATTATATGTCAACACGAGTCAAATTAATGTTTTAGGTATTTCAAGATTCATCCATCTCCACTATCAAAACATGACATTACACAATTAGATAACAAAGTGTGAGAATATGAAAATTTAGAGAAATCCCGCATAAGGAAAATTAATATGTTGGTGCTTACTTTTCCTATTATAAAAGGAGCACCATGTCTACCTTGTAAATCATCAAAAATCTCTTTCTTCTCATCTCTATTAGTGCATTATATAGTAGTTGAGTCTCTTATTTTTTAAAGAGAATATTATTATTTTTTTCTTAGATTTAAAGAGGGTATTGTATTTTCTTCTGATAACAATTTTATTATTGTCTATTGTCGAGTTTATTTCTCTTTTCTCATCTTTTATTTTAGTTGTAAGTCTTTATGTAATTACTTGATTCCTAACACAAAGAGCAAGGTTTTTTGTTTAACATTTATAATACTTTGTTAGTAGGTTATTGTTTGTATTGTATTATGTAGTTTAAAATTTAGGTAGCTTAGTTTTTGTATTAGTTTAGACTTTGTATTAGTTTAATTTTGTAATATTTACCTTTTAAGTAGTTTAGTCTTTGTATAATATTGTATAGGCTATTGAATTATTTTTTGTAAGACAAGAAAACGAAATAAACGTTGGACAAGGGATATACACGACATAAATTCATGTCGATTATATCTCAAGTCAAATGTAAATTTACGTCGGGTATATCTCAGGTTTGACGTAAATTTACGTCGGATATGTCCTTGGTCCGATATAAACTTACTTCAGTGATTATATCCGACGTAAATTTACGTCTCCCGTATTAATGTTAAACTTGTTTCTGACGTAAAAAGTAAAAAATAATAGACATAAAAACTTCATTTTGTACTAGTAATTGAAAGTGTTTACAATATCGATGTAGATGATTTCTAACTTACCTTTATTTATGGTCTCGATATGCACCTTAAAGGGATTTATAACTTGCTTCCCTAACATGCAACTTTCACAAATATCTTTATACTTCTAAGTTTTAAATAATCCTATTACCATCTCCTTGTCTACAAGTTGATTAAGCTATCAAAATTTAAATGACTATATGTCATAATCAATTTACATCAAAAATTATAGTTACAAAATACGTATGATTTGTTGGTCAACTATCCACTCTAAAAATTTTGTATTTGCTCAATACAGACTTTAGTATATTAAAAAAAAATACCTTAACAAACAGGTATACTAATTCATTCTTTTTTTTAAGATTAAAAGAAAAATAAGACAAAAGGGGACGTAGTAATATATTTTACCATTTTACATAGAAATAAACATTTTTAGAAAAAATCAGACAATTTTCACATTGAACGAAATTAACTTAGTTTTAGAAAACTAAAAAACTAAATATGTAATTAAATTTGTATAAGAATTAACATATCACATTAACTAAGAAACATTTAATTATTACTGAGTAAAAATTACCTTCATTTCTCACTTATTTTATTGTTTAATTTTCATATAACTGATACTGTATTATGTATAAAGAAATTATTGAAAAAGGAAACTAAAAAAGAAAATTATTATAACAAATACAAACTTGGAACTTCCTCACCTTTATCAAATACCAACTCACTTTACAAATGATGCTAACTTATACAATACTTTGATTGACAATTATATATATATATATATATATATATATATATATATATATATATATATATATATATTAGTTATTAATATATTAGTCATTTTTAGCTGAAAATTTAAAC